TTTTTAAGTTACCGAAGGATAATGAAAGCTGAATATATTTCTTTTTTTTGTTACATAGGTACATAGGAAAAAATAATTAAGTAATAGTTTAACTAATTTACTCTATAATACTTAAATTACTAATTTAACAAATAAATACCTAAGTACTTCATTATAAAACTTAGTTGAAATTTACTTCACTAGCCAAGTACCTACTTACATACCTATACTTGTCTTTTGTAATTAAAATATTTTAAGTTATATTAACACAAAATACTGAAATTACAACTTTGTTCAGAAGTTTTTTTAACTAAGTAGAATACGATCACATTTCTGTCAGGAATCGTATTTCGGGTTCATTTGTTGTTTCTTAGGGAACTCTTCACTGCTGCATTGGAAGACGTTTTCAAGTTTCTGGACTGGAAAGGATACGGTATTAACATCAATGGCGAGTACATCACTCACCTTTGATTTGCCGACGATATAGTCCTTATGGCAGAATCGCTGCAGGACCTAAGCACTATGCTCAATGACTTCAATAGTGTCTCCCAACGGATAGGTCTTAAGATGAACATGGACAAAACAAAGATCATGTTTAATGTCCATGTCACACCTATGCCGGTAGTTGTTGGGAACACTAAGGTCGAAGTTGTTGACGAGTATGTTTACCTGGGACAAATAGTCCGACTAGGTAAGTCCAACTTCGACCGAGAGGTCAATCGACGGATTCAACTCGGCTAGGCAGCGTTCGGGAAGCTACGACACATCTTCTTGTCAGACATACCTCAAAACCTTAAAACGAAATTGTACAACCAGTGCGTGTTGCCAGTGATGACTTAGGGATCTGAGACGTGGTCCTTCACTGCTGGTCGTATAAGGAAGCTCAAGGTCGCTCAGCGAGCTATGGAGAGGGCTATGCTCGGAGTTTCTCTGCGTGATAAACTTAGGAATGAGGATATCCGCAGTAGAACCAGAGTAACCGACATAGCCCAACGGATTAGTAAGCTGAAGAGGCAGTGGGCCGGCTATATAGCTCGAAGAACCGACAAACGATGGGGAAGAAAGGTTCTTGAGTGGCAGCCTCGTACCGGTAGGCGAAGTGTAGGGCGACCCCCCACGAGATGGAGTGACGACCTGGTAAGACATGCAGGAAGTCGATGGATGCAGGTGGCTCAGCACCTTGCTTTGTAGCATTCCTTGGGGGAAGCCTATGTTCAGCAGTGGACTTATGAAAGGCTGTAATGATGATGATGATGATTTTGTTTACACTATCTACCTATTTCTTTCGAGCCAAACATCGCGATTCCCGACGAATGGCCTTGCAAGTTGGAAGCGTTGAGCATCACAGAACTCGCATAGTAGCGAAAATATGGTCGATCATAGTCAGAATAGGTACTTTACCTAAGTAACTGATTTATCATTTCACAATGTATTTTTTTACTCTTTATTAATAGCCCTTAGTAACCACGGAAAGTCCGTCGTGACGTAGGAAGGGGAACAAAGTAATACAAACACTCGCGCGCAGCAATAAAGTTTTATTTAGCTTACGTGCGCGATTTATCTGATTAATAATAATTATGTAGGCTATTAAAACGCCGGCAAGCAGTCAACATCAAAGCAGTGCAACTTCTGTACGTAGCACTATTATTTATTCTGTGGTAGTAGTTAGACTGTGTCTCAGGCATTCCTGTCATAATGCAAGCGTGGGTCTTTCTCTAGTAGTTTTATCTGGCATTCACTCCAACATAATTTTTTTTTATACGCAAACTATTGAATCATTATTGATGGCATAAATCTTCTCAGATCTTATAATTATTACAAACGCGCCACAAAAATACATTAGGCTAAATCATAGAAAAGTAATTATTGAAAGTTCTGGAATTATGGCTTAGCAATAAAAAGAGTTGAGGATTAAACCTCTTTATTAACTAGTTAAAAGGAAATCTGGTTCTTGTCAAGCACAGCAGCATTTTGCTGCTATTCCACACAGGTATTCTGTTTTTTTAAAGAATAAGGGTGACAAAGAAGCACACAGTTCACCTGATGGTAAGTGGATGCTATGGCAGTAAGTCTGTTCACTAAGATAGAGTAGGTACACCCGAAGGGGCACTTATTATTTTGCTTTTATTTTATTGTTTTTACTATCTTTGTTAAATAAATGTTTTTCTATTCTAAGAATAAAATGGAGTACTATTTTACTCTTATGGTTCTTGTAACAAACTACGAATATAAATGATATACACAAGTTAGGTAGCAAAGAACCGTAGTGAAACGGCGCTTCGTTTTAAAATGCCAAATTTTCCTGCGGGAGTACGCCGCACGCGACAACCTTAGATGTCGCGACCGCTCCTTTAAAAAGATGCAGCACGTGCTGAGGCGGCGCAAAACAAAGGCGACCGTATCTAAGCGACTAGACTAGACATCTACATTCATCCCCGATTAAGAATCAATATGCAAAAATACGTTGTGACCTCTGAGGAGAATGCCACGTATCCAGTTATAAGGGTCTCGGGTTCTCTACACTCACTATAATACGAGACAAAGCAGCATTAAGCTGCTATTTTACGACTCATTCGTGCTACTACCATAATTTACTTGGCTCTACCACATGTATATAGTAAGACTGAACATTGGCTAAAGCGGAGAACTCAATAGACGGACATGCCCACGGGCTGTTTATCCGGACATGTCTGTCGCCGCAATACACTACACAGACTCATCAGTATGTTTTAGACCGGCTACGTGATTAGTTATGCATGCACATTAAAATGACTACGAAACTACGAAAAATATATAATAACAGCTGGTGTTGCATTAATACTATCCGATGATAACTAAAAGAACAGAATTTGGTGAAAAAAATGATATAAAAATAGAAATAAGTATAGCCATATCAATTTACTTAAAGAATTAGAAATTGATGAACTAGGAGACCTGTACAATTACTTGCGCATGAATATAGAGTCGTTTGAATTTGTATTACAACTTGAATCACTCTTCGCTGAATATTTTATTCTATTCCCAGAATATTTTATTATCATTAAAAGTCATTGCAAATTAAAAAAAATCTCGAAAGTTCGTTAAATAATAATAAAAGGCCATCTGCACTGGTTCCTGTTGCTCTTGTGTCTGTAAACAGACAGCTTGCAGTTAACATTTACGTTGGAGCATGTCTGTACCCGCGCAGACAAAATGAGATCGCGCGGACATTCAACATGCAAATCTGCCAGACCGAATGCGACGGTCCTACACTATTAAACTTTGCATAGACCTATAGTAGCGAAGTCCTTGGTCTCTTGGAGAGGTTTAGAAGTAATGTAATAAAAAAACTTCCATCACTTTCATTCAAAAATAGTGCTGATTATTTGTATGATACGTTATTTAAAATTATAAGTTGTGAATTTAGTAGAATATTTACTTCTAAAACTTTCTCTTTCAACAGTCGCAAATCATTTAATGAATGGGCGACAGTAGGAATTTACAAAAGTAGGCGAAGGTTATACGAGCTTTATAATGAAAGATCATATAATAGTAGTGTTATTTAGAGCTTATGTAAAAACATATTCAAAGTGCGCTCCACAGCTAAGGTTTTACATTTAAGCAACAAAATTAAAACTGCATCCAACAAAATTAAAATGACCTGGAGAATAATAAATAGTGAAAAGGGCAAAGTTACGAGCAACTCGGATTTTCAATTGAACATTAACAATAATTTAACTCGATCTGATCAAGAAGTTGCTATAGCTTTTGAGAAACATTTTACTGATGTTCCTTTTTTGACAACAAAATCATTACTTTCTTCTCCTACTGTCGCCTAATCATTGCTTAAACAAAATGTAAAGACTTGTTCAAATACTTTTAAATTCCATAGAGTATTGCCAAAAGATATCGTTAAATATTTTAAAGCTATTGATGTTAAGAAAACGGCAGACTTATGGGGGATTTCCGTTAAAGTTATTTTATCAATAATATATACAATAGCACCTTATCTAGCCACTATATTTAATACTTGCGTCGAATCTGGTGTATTTCCTGATTTAATGAAACAGTAAAGTCATTCCTTTATTTAAATCTGGTAGTATATTAGATTCCGCCAATTTTAGACCAATTCTGTACTACCAACGTTTAGTAAAATTTTTGAAAAAATTATTTTTGATCAGATTTTAAATTTCTTTAATATTAATAAATTACTACATAAAAATCAATTCGGTTTTACAAGGGGTCGCTCCACAACTGACGTTGGAGTTGAGCTTAATAAACATATTTTTTGTGCATGGGAGAATTCAGAGAATGCTTTGGGTATATTTTGTGACTTTTCCAAGGCCTTCGACTGTATTTACCATGCGACATTAATCAGGAACCTACAGTAGTATGGTGTCAAGAACACAGCGCTGAAACTTTTTATTTCATGTCTAAGTAATAGAATGCAGAAAGTTATTATCAATGGTAAAAGTTCTTCCGGGTCACATGTACTAATGGGTGTCCCTCAGGGCTCTATTTTGATCCCATTTCTATTTCTAGTAGTATTAATGACTAATGATATAGTATTATTCGCTGATGATACTTCCTTGATTTTTAAACTTAAGCGTCAATCATTTAAATGTGACGAAGTGAATAATGCTATATCAAAATTAGTGCAATGGTTTAACGTTAATAATCTGTATTTAAACGGTAATAAAACTAAAGGTATTAAATTTACAACATAGAATGTTAAAAATCTGAATACCAATATTCAGATTGTATTCAGATGGTATTCAGATTTTTAACATTCTATGTTGTAAATTTAATACATTTAGTTTTATTACCGTTTAAATGCAGATTATCAACTTTTGACGGAAAAATCTTACACTTTTTATCGCCTAGCTCCCATCCGCCAAACACATACCGTGCAATAAGTTCGTTCCAATAATTTCCACATCACTAATGCTCGTGAAGTCGCCGGGTATTTAATACTTCTATATAACGTCATCGCACCGACTTTAGAAGCGGATTATGTGTAATTTTATTCTTTTTAGTTTTTTGAAGTCTTCCTTTACATTTTTATTAAAAGTTTAATTTTCTGTTACAATTCTCATCAATGCGATACGAAATGCGACAAGACTAGACGAGAATATAGATAAGTGCTAAATGAAAATCATAGATCAATTTTCCCTAAATCTGCGTGGCTGAAAATCATACTACTTGGTTGTTGTTTTATTTGCATTCATTGGTTGCTATGCCACTTAGCTGTGTCCTTGATTCGGTATATTCAGCTGTCTTCGACCAGAAACTGTGATATAAATATAAATTATGTATGTTATTGCTGATAAAATAACATTTCTTTTGAATAATTAGTAACTCCTTTATTATTTATCGATTTTATAAAAGCTCCCTTTATCAAAAAAAGTCTGCCCTAACCTCAATGAGCGACAGAGACACGCTTATCCCAAGAATATTCACACATATTAATAAATAAAGAAACGTAAAATGCTGCTATTTGGCTTGAACGATTGTAGTTAGAGCCCCAGTCTTTAATCGATTGTCGGTTATTTTCAAATAATAATGTCGTACGTAAATATATGTGGAAAAACCATGCCATTTTATGGTTGTAGCTGGAACCTCACAGAACACCAGTCTGAAATAGCAGCTTAATGCTGCTGTGTTTCGTATGGTGATGGCAGAGAACCGGAGATCCTTTTTACTAGAAACAAGGTATTCTATCTTAGTACTCGGGGGTGATAACGCATCTGTATATTTAATCTTTAATCGAGTATAGATGTTAGTGTCTATGGGCATAGCAACCACTTACAATCAGGCGGATTGTGCGTTCCGTTGTAACAAAATTTTAAAAAATCTGTTAATTTTTTGTCTAATTAATAGTGTGAGGACTTTTTTGTAACGTAATATTATTTTCATAAACTTCTTTTATATGTGAATTGAATCACTGTAAACAGTCACATTACGTGCCGCACCTTGAGAGAAGTTTAGAGCCTAGATGCCCAGTAGTGGATTATTACGTGCCAACAATGACAATAATAATGAAAATACTAAAAACAAAATTTTAAAGTTACACTTAGAATAGAATATATGTGATTATAATAGTAGTGTTTTATTAGTTCATTAACATCAAGTTAGCACACGCACGGAATTTTACAAGCAATATGTTAATGTTTAAATTACACAATAAGTCAGAGCAGCAAAAACATATATGTATGTAATCACTCTAAGCAAAAAATGCATTATTGAATGTCATTATTTATCTTCTTGTTAGACAACACTTCGCTAATGAATGGAAATCGAAGACATTCAACTTTAGATTTTTATAAATTATCATAATGAAGACATTGCGCTTCACCAGTCTTACTTTTTTGTTCTATAAATCAAGAGTACTTCTTTTTTGTTTCAACAAATTGTATAATAATTAATAACTCAATGATAATGAACTAAGAATTAGAAACCAAAATGAACGAAAAACAATCATTAAAAAGATAAAATATAATTTTGTTGTTTTTGTTCTGTTATCACTTAAGCCTGTACTTATCAAATAGGTAATGGATAGTAATTTTGTAATACATACAACTTTGAACCTCGAGCGCAGCACGCCGAGTTTGCCGAAGCGAACGTGAAATGGCGAACACGTGAAGCTACCATCTGGCTGCTCTACCACCACCACATCGATGGCGCCGGTCAGCGTCGCGCTATTGATTTCGTTGTAGAATTCCCGGAAGTTCGCAATGAACTTGCCGATATAGTTCATAGAATACATGGCGGTCGATGTGTCTATCACACGTGTATACTAAAACCACACATATATCACCAGCACTATCTTAAATCCAATAACACTAAAATGTCAATCGCCGATTACCCCATTTCGTCTTTTCTTTAAGAGTTAAAAACAGCAAACTCCTGAAACAAAGAAAAAGCAAAATATAGCATAACTTGTTCAAAATTTATACGCTATCAGATAATGACTAGGAAAAAATTATAATTAATCAAGATTTAAGGTGTTTGCAGGTGTACCTAGATATTACATATAATATCGCGATAATTGCATGCAAATAAAGAATGAATTTTAATATTATGATAATCTCAAAATTAAAATAAATATTAGGTTTCTTTTGTATTTATCATTGTAATTATTGTTTTTCTTTATTTAGTACAGACAACAGGCAAAATACTAGCATTGAAATAGTAGGAGTCAATGAACAAATAGACAACGAGCACCGGATGTTGTAAATGTAACACGATCATTGCACCGAGGCGCATAATATAAAGCAACAAAGCAACCTACGAAAATCTAAACAATTACCTAATTTACCCGTGGTAATTTGCAATTTTAAGTGCCGATTTACAATGCGCTGGGTGGTGAAGGAAAACAGGCGAAGTACATCAACACGGACTGCAGTAGCATGGCGGACTAGTTGCTCCCAAGCCCTCTCAAAAATAAGAGGAGGCATGTGCAGCAGTGGGCTGTAATTTATAAACCCGAGAATAAAACACATTTACACCCATTTTTAACGAACCTTTCAGTAGGATACGCAAGAAACACGAATAAACAACCCTATCTCCTAAGCTACCACTGATTTCTCGATTCCATCCGAATCAGAAGTAAATTTTTCCTATCCTATGCCATATATAGAGCGACCACCATTTTTCCCTAGCAGGTAAGGCATTGCCGTGGTAGCTCAGATGGTTAGCGCTCGCTGTAAGCTTCACAGTACTCGAGCAACCCGGGTTCGATCCCCGCTGGCACCAATGAAATTGTTAATTGCAATTTTAAGTGCTGATTTACCACGTGCTCGGCGGTGAAGGAAAACATCATGAGGAAACCTGCATGTCTGAGAAATAAGAAAAAAAAATATTTTGAAGCCATGTGAAGTTCGCCAACACGCATTGGGGCAGCGCGGCGAACTTTTCCTTGCCCTAAAACCCTCTCAGAAATGAGAGCAGGCCTGTGCCCAGCAGTGGGACGTAAATAGGCTGCAACTTTACTTTACTTTTTAGGTAAGGCATTTATCGTCCTAAGGCTCTTATTAACAACATTCTCAAGATTTTGAATATAGAGCTCTAGAGCCATGCATACCTTCAAAACTCATTACACAGAGCTAATGTGAAACTTCAAGACTAAAGTAGACACAATAAAGGACAATGAGCTGACATTATAGTACGCAAATTTAGAATACGGCATTGGAGTACCTAAGGAGATTTATATTTGTACGATACTCTGAAACAATGACTGGCAATAAATTTTCAAAAGACACTCAGAGCCATAGAATACTATAATACAAATATTCTATGCTCAGAGCGATTTGGCGGATTTATAAAAGCACGTGGCACTGGCGTGCGTCGCTACACTCGCAAAAAGAGGACTCTGTCCCCGTTACTTGATACAAATATACAATAATATTATGTAGCTCCACAATGACTAATTCACGGGAATAGCAAACTTTAATGATATTTATGAATAAGTTTCTTTATTACCAATTCTCATGCGAATGTAATCACAGAATACTATAGTAAATCAAAGATGACATTACGTAATCTTATTGTAAATGAAAATTATATTTCTATCATATATTATAGAATATGAACACACACAAGGTATGTTTAAGAAAACATCTGTCCAATTTAAAAAAAAAAATGGTGTCGTAACTGGTTTCACCATAGTATACGAAATCACATTTCGTATTCCTTTTTAGGCGTGAAGATAGTTATCATTACGTGAAAGACACTAACAATGCGTTGTGTGATCGTTTGTCGTTTAGTGTTGAATTGATTTGGTTTTCATTTGGTCACAATTTGAGAAGGCAGGTGTCCCTGGTTCATACGTCAAGCGCGATAGCATCAAGTGCCAAATCTTATTTTAGACATCAAGGATTTCAAGTTCAATGAATGTGGTATGTCAGTCACACTAAAATAAAGATACTAGAAGTATGGAAATCTTTAGTTTTACATTTAATGGTTAACATTGTAAAACGCGCTATACGAGTATACAAGTTCACAACAGTTACCGAATGTCGCTCTTATTGTCATTGGAATATGAAATTTGTAATTTTATTTTTATATACATTAAAACTAATTGAGAATGGACTAGTAACAGATATAATAATAAACGTTGACCTCAACTTTTTTGATTCAGATAAAAAATTACCCAGATGACATTGAATTGCGGTCAACCGTATAAACAAATTGATTAAATTGATGTTATTTTCGCCACACGCTTCAACAATTATAAATTTTAATGCACGCACTGATATAGCTTACACATGTGGTTTTAGAAATACGTTGTCATCGTATAATCTAAAGCAACAATAAGTATGAAAACTTTGGAAATCATCCGGATGTATCTCCTTTTGTTGGGGGTAAATAATACAAATCGACACGTTAACAATGTCACCTTAGTGATAACAGAGTAGTCTTGACTGCCTCGACAGAAGTCTAGCCAAAATCAGTTCTCTTCTTTTTCTTTCAATATATAATTTTAGTATCAGCCCAGAGGTATGATGGTGTTTCAGCCACGTGTCTCGGAAAGCAGATAAGGACGTTGTTCCTTCACCTGATCCCTCTCCGGTCGTGTCGGTTTGCCATCCCGTCTATCTAGGAGAGTAATGGAATAGAAATTGCACACACTCGTGCACTATAAATTATGTCATGCGCAGTAGCTAGTCTCCAAAACCAAAATCGATCGGAAAAACATTTCATACACCTTGATGCAAGGCAACATTACAAATACATATTACACAAAAACATCGCGTTTATTTAATCCGCACATTTTCTAGGATACGTTGAGTTTGATTCATTATTGGAGTTCCCCAATGACGCATTCTAAGCATATAATGATGTCAAATAAAGTGAACGCAAAGATAACTGAATGAATGATACTTTAAACATCTGCAGACTTCAATAGATCAATATTTAAGTTCAAAGGGTGTAGAAAGATTTTGTATAATTTTATAAAACACAAAAATATATAATGTAGTTATGACAATATTATATTTTAATAACATTGTAATCGTACTTTCAATGAATTTCAGCACCGAACATTAAATAGATAAAAAGTCTCAAAAAAATATTGGTAAAGCCAAAATTGGGAAAGGAGATAAACAACACCTACAAAATTAAATGAACACAATAATTTATAAAATTTAATTTAATTATAATGCGTCTACAGCCAATTGACTTTCAAAGTTCGCAATAAGTCAAAGTTTATAGTAGTAATAACGAGATTAACTCATCCACCCATCCATTACAGCTTATAAAAGTCCACTGCTGAACATAGGCCTCCTTCATAGATTGCCTCTGAGGAGAGATTTTGCCATGTTACTACACTGAGCAGGAAATAAATAAAAAAACTGCCAACCACAGTTTATTAGGAAAATATTCAACGGCAGCAACTGCACATGTTTTTCAGTTGCCCTTTGTCGCCGCTTACGACAACCACGGGTCGTAAGAGGGTGGTAGTTATGTAACAAAGAATTAAATTATTATATTTAAAAAAGAGTTAATAGTTTTTAACATTAACAAAATGAAAGTTCACTACATTATCACAAACACATAAGACCAATTAAAATTATAAAAGGAAAAAGCAACGTTCCATTCATGCATTGGTAATTGGAAATGAGCCACCTGATTCATTTGTCTTTAATAACAACAACAAATGACGTTGCACGAGAGTGTTTATCTAGTTACTTGTTGGTCAATAATTTATACACGCTTTGAGCATACGAGCATATAACTTCTCGAAATATAGTAAGCTACATAGCAGTCATTATAAGCCCACACGCGAACTCTAATATCTGAGAGGGTATTGGAAGGAAAACCTGGACCCGAAAAAAAATCGTATTTTAGACAAGATTATGACAATCGAATAACGATACTTTTTACAATGATATATGCTCGGAAAGAAATATACTCATACATGAAATATTCAATTAAATTCTTAATCGTGGAGATTTTAAAAATACTTGATGTTAATCGAATATACGATATATTTCTTTGTAAACAAGATAAAGAACATATACGAATACATAACGTTAAAATAGTATAATTTATTATGATGTGTGTTGAACCGTTGAACCAAATATTATCGAGCACCACGTCGTACGTAGACAATAGGTATTATTTCTTAGTTCCGATAACAGAGCACACAGCACCACAGTACCACGTCTAACGTACACAAAATATATTTCACAATCGAACGTTTAGCTGGATGAAGAGCAACAGCAGTGCGTTAAGCGCTACGATCATAGAAATAATACATCTACGTTCAAATCAGATTTTTTTTATAAGGTATGTGAGGATCACTTTAAGCTATGCCGCGCTATAAAAGCAAAACTAGGAGGAGGACAGAGACAAAAACACAAAGTCGTATATTATAAGTAATATATTAAGAAAAAATAGCAAACAAGCCTTGACAATAATTAGGAACACTTCGAAAAATCAACTTAAAGAAAACTAAATACACTACCCAAACCTAAAATTGACTGAGATATTTACTATAATATCAACTGTCAAAATGGCGTCGATAAAGTAGCTCACTTTTGACCCTTTATTAATTGAATGAATGAAGAAGAGCTATCGTATCACAGTCATCTATGCAAATAAGGCTGTAGTTTTTGAGTTATAAGAAACTGACCATATTAACCGGATGCCCATATTACCCTCACGTATTATATACTTTATTGCCCTCCTCTTGGACTATTTGTCATTGCGTTTCATTTTACGATGGAAAATCAACAACATTAGTTAAAATAGCCAACCGTTATGGAATGTATAAGATATCTAACATAAAAGAATATAGGTACAAGAGTTATTGGTAATGCAGAATAATGCAAATAATAGAGTGAATGTTAAAATTTACATATAAAGTCTAGACAATTCCAATATTCTAAATTAGCTTAGATATTATTGAAATTGATTTTCCACATACGATTAAACAAAATTATCAACAATTTTACACATAACTACTTACTTTAAAAACAAGTAAGAATTTTTGACGTATATTTTCGATAAATTTACCATGTGCTCAGCGTTCAGTGGGAGAACCTGCATGTCTGAGGAATAAAATATTTAGAGAACATGTGAAATCCGTCAACACACACTGGAGCAGCGTGGAGGATCTATCACTCCATAATCCATAACTCTCACAGAAATAAGAAGATACTGTGTCCAGTAGTGGGATATTTTTAAACTGTTACTTGAAATAACTTTTCAAAGTTTTAAAAAGTTTATCGTAATAACTAATACATACCTGGATAGCAATTGATATTTTAATTTTAATTAACAGGCTCGGTGAACACAAACGCACAAAGGACAATGTCTCGAATAGTAAAACTTATTTGTTAATGTGTAATTATCGAAAATCAGTTTCGCGCTATAAATAAAGCGAGTGTTAGGTTGACGCGTACTCTCTACACAGTCTCTACAGTTATACTGGCTTCAACGTCATTAGATAATACTAAACTGGCCTACTGAGCAGAACACATGAACACAGCAGTTCGCAAGTGTAAAAGATTATTGCGTGACGTATAACACACGCAGCGAATACTTATGCCCGCTCTACACTTACTATACGAACCGTGCACAACGTCGCGGCAAAAAATCAGCACCGAGAAAAATATCTTGAATCAATTACTCTACACTCACAATAGTTTTGGATAAAATTCACATATTTAAAGGAGCTAGATTTCGAAGTAGCCACTGCTAATTCTCATTTGTTATACGTATTAAAATGTAAAAATAATAAGGTTTGGAAAAAAGAAAATAGTGGATAACAAGTATCCATTGTAATAGGATAAAGAAACTTCCATTTTCGATAAATAAGTACTCTTTATTTTAATTTTTAATACTGCAACTTATTTATTACCAATAAATACTTAATTGAATAATGAGTATCTAAGTTAACACTTTGTACTCCTTTTTAAGCCTATTGCGCGCACAGAAAAATGTGAGATTTGGTATACCGTGAAACCTGGCAACTTTGCCATTTTTGGAAGGACTTAAAAGTTTAGGACTAATTTTCCAACAAAAATATACTGTCAGACTGGGCGTCAATGTTAAATGTGACATTACATTCATCATCGATTTGGTATTTATTAGTGATTTAAACCAATGTTAACATTAAATAGACAGAATACCCAAAAATAGAAAATGGCAAAGTTAACTTTACTTTGTGGCAACTTTGCCATCAGGGTTTTTAATGAAAAAAATAGGATTTGACTTCAAGGTTGAAGGTAAGTTTACCTCATAAATATAATGCACACCACCAGGCCTCTGTCAGTCTTGCTACCCGCGTGAAATAATTACCTACAATCGCGAGGCGTTCCTGGGATACAACGCAGTCGGGGCTAGCGCGTTCTAGGTGATTGAATGTTAAAGTTTTTTAACGCTGTTTACGTAAATAGTTTTTTTGTAAATACTTGTTAAAATACTTATCGAAATAGATTTTGTTTAGTGTTTAGTATATTTAATTGTAGGATAAAATAATTGTAAAAGTTTTAATGTAATTTAACCATAATATATATGTATATTACCTATCTATTTCATAAACTATAATGGCAAAACGTCGTTGCTACTATAATTAATACTTGGATAGATGCTTAATGAGCAAATTAAAGGATTTAGATGAAATTAAATTAAATTTAAATTATTTAAGTTACCGAAGGATAATGAAAGGTGAATTTATTTCATTTTTTTGTTAGATAGTTACTTTTAGCGAGAAAATAATTAATTAATAATTTAACTACAGAAGTAATACCTAAGTCCTTTATTACAAAACTTAGTTGAAATTTACTTCACTACCCAAGTACCTACTTACATACCTATACTTGTCTTTTCTAATTAAAATATTTTAAGATATAATAACAGAAAATACTGAAATGATACCCTTAACAAAATTGGGTGGCCAGACCCATTGCGGACTAAGTGTGGAGCGGTCATTACATACTCAAACCAGCTCAAACCACGCGGTTATAGGAATCCAATGCAACAGACGACGTAGTGCGCGTCGCGACTGCAGACTCGGTCGCGCGAAGTGGCGTGATGTCGAACCATCTTATTGCGAAAGTGTGTTCAAGGAAGTGTGCTACCCAAAAAGAGGTCCGATAACATATGACACACCTACTAACTGAGGAAAACGGCAAGCTATATGTCTTCGATATAATGATCTTTTAGTCTGCATAGTAAAAATCCTCAAATGTACAAAAAACTATTTATTCTGTGCATGTTGTTAAATTCCTAATATATATTTAACGAGTTATCAGCAGTATTCAGCAACTTGGTCATGATAAATAAATTTATTACCATATCATTTAAGAATGTTCAGCCAAAGAAATATTGAAAATGGTGAAATAATAATATTTTACTACTTTACTGTATTCAAATTAACTTTTTCCTTAGTGGTCGTCCGGCGTCCTGCATTTTCACCCAGCAGCATATCGTCAATATGGGTGAAAGTATCTTTATTGAAACACGTTCTAAAAAAGAAATTACTGTTGCCATCTCTTAAAAAGGACGTTCCAAAAGAGAACATAAAAAATATATACAGGCCAGAAGGACAATATAATAAGTTAAATAACTCTCCTGAAACATAATTGACGATGGTTACGATCTTATATCAGAGGTTCCCAAACTTTTTCATTTCGCGGCGCACTTACAGATTTAGTATTTTGTCTCGGCGCCATAACTAGTCAAAATAGGGTATAATGATACTAGGCATAAAAATTAAAACATTCACGATAAGAAGCCGACTTTTTATATTTATATTGACACACAAGAATGCATTTATTATTTAAGAAAAATGGGAAATTAAATACAATGACAACTAAGTCAATGAGACATGTGAGCTTGGTTATCTCACATATTTTTTCAAAGCGTCGAATAAGGCTTGACACTGTTACACAAGACTTGATACTTGACACTGAGCGCCTCATGGCGCCCCTCTACTTTCTACGGCGCACCAGGGCACTGCGGCATACACTTTGAGAATACCTGATATATATGATAGCAAATGTTTTTGATTGGCCCTCAAATGATCAATAAAAGAAGCTGTGTCTTTTACCGTAAAGGCGACTTTTTAAATGCTTTTTACGCGTTGATTTTTCTAAAATTATTTGGTGTCATAAAACAGGGAACCGACAATTAAAAGCTTAGCTTATTTTTGTAACTTCAACTATTTTTATTATAGAATAAGGGTGACAAACAAGCATACAGTCCACCTTACGGTAAGTGAAACTGTGCCCGTAGATATCTGCATTTATCCTCAATTAAGAATCAAAATAAAAATGCGTTGAGGACTAAGACGGAATGCCACGTCGCCAGTAAAAAGGATCTCCGGTTCTCTACACTCGCCATACGAAACACAGCAACATCAAGCTGCTATTTTAGTCAGGTATTCGTGCGTAAATTAGCAGCTGCGTGGCCCTACCCTGGTGGAGCTGCCATTCGTGTGCTACAACCATAATATAGCTGCAGAGTGGAGTGGGTCTTCAACGTATAAAATACCTAGTGTAACAAATTTAATAATCTTAACTATGTAGGTTATACCTAATTTAGTTATAGTATTAGGGTTTTTTTCACATAAAACTCACCATTATAATTAGACGGTCGTGAACTACCTTACTTACTTTCAGTCCATTTTCGAATAGATACCTATTTTTTAGAAGTAATAACATGATACAATATTTTTTTATTACCTAAGCTTGCAAATTGCAAGTTGCAATACTAGTATAGGTGTGCAAAATTAAATATGTTTAGACATATAGCCAGTGTCCTTATTTGTTAAGAGATGGGTGTGTCATGACGTAGTTTGATGCGTATTATTTAAATCTTCCAAGGTCACTATTAAATTACAAATTCAAAATATCGACCTACTTTCAACCATAAATCTTTGTATTTAGAGGTGATATTTGCGTAAACATTAAGCATGTACGACGAAAGCTAGATGCGTAATAATGTGCATAAACAAAATGTTATCGTTGCGACGACCTTACATTCATGAGATACCGATAGGTATCGTTCAGATGCGGAAAACAAAAACATGTTATATTAGTTACTAGCTTTTTACCCGCGGCTTCGCTCGCGTGCGCTTAAATTTGGGAACGTTATTAAATGCTATTCCTGCCAAATTTAGAAAAATTCGAGCACTTTTAGAGTCACCTCAGTGTCTGTGTCTCTGTCTGCCAGTTTTTTTTTCTTTCTAAAATACTATTAGACGTAGATGATTGGTAACATGCTACAGAAACACGTGAATATATATGTCTAGAAACACCTACTATTTTTTATTTTGGGCGTGTCTTCCAGGCGTGTCACTTTGTAAAAATCTGAGGTATGGAAAATGGTGGCGCGATTTTCAAATTTGTTCGCATTACTCGTGGGGTATTAAGGTTTAAGAGTTTGCAGTGTATATACTCAACTTATTTATTGAACTATAAGATGTGGGGTATTGAGGTTTAAGGGCTTGCGATTTATTTATATGGGGTTTGTAGTAATATGCGATTTATTTCCTAATTTCAGCTATGGAATTCCATACCTTGAAAAACTTGAGGTATGGAGTGCTCCATACCTTCCATAGTGGAAGTGACACCCCTGGTGTCTTCTGATGTATCCATAAGAAAGGTTTAGTCTTTAAATCAGAAGGTAAGTATTATTATTATTTACAATTTACTCTTTACATTTAATCATAGTTAAAATTAATTTAGTTTTAACAAAGTAATATAATGTTTATTTGAGACATTTATTCACATCATTGGTCCTATTTCATTTGATTGGCACCATAAAATATACTTATGTAGATATTTTTTTTTACTTCGAGTAGACGTAGAAAATTTCATAAATACAGTTTTATAATAATGAATACTCCACATGAATTAAAACTAATGTTACGGGTTTTTTTACGCATCTTGGATGAATGTTCCGAGTAAAAGAACATATTGTTGATGTGAAGCACCGAAGCTCCAGGAAGTCTTCGTCCCAACCATTATATCGGATCTGATAGACAACAAATCCTTGCAATAGATCACCGAATCCTACCAATAATGATTAGCGAGGCTATTAAAATTAAAAATATCCTAATTTTAATAGGGAAGATGGCTGAGTGCTACCATCTGCTAAGGACCCCATAATTAATAAAATTAAATTCAAACTACTACTGCATTTATTCTATTCTATTTTAACTATGACATGAGGTCACGTGACCATGGGTGCTGTAAAGTGCCCAAAACAGCGGGAATTTAAAAAGTTAAAATTAAATGTGATAAAATCCTTAAAATTAGTTTTATTCCTTATAAATTTTATTCACTTTGAATGTGAGGAGCACTACACTCATGAACGGGAGTAGAAAAATGTTCGCCCTGTTGTGGCGATGAAAGAAAATCCACCACGTCATATCGTCCCGTCGTAAGAGCCGACATAGGAAAACCAACAGGAGATGGGATGG